TAGGGACAGAAATACCCAAACTGCAAGTTCTTACAAAGAAAAAAGAGTGTAAATTGCTTAGAAGATTTAAAACAATTTCTTATTGCCTAGGCGTAGTTGGAAGATGTATATCTCTTTATATTATTAACTGACTTGCAATGCAAAAATGTCTATGTGATATCTAATAATTCTTATAGTAAGGTTTTTTTCCATTTTTATGTTAAGTTACTTCCAAGATAACTCTTTATTTTATCTATCCTTTACCATTTACTCCAGTTACAAAACAATTGCTAAAGTTTTCTGAGAATAATATAGTTTGTATAATATAGATAAGTGGTGGCGAACCTATGGCACGTGTGCCAGAGGTGGCACTCAGAGCCCTCTCTGTGGGCACACACACCATGCCCTGGAGATGGTAATCGTCCCTCTTCAACCAGCCGCCCACTAACTCGCCAAGCTCCCACGTGGCTGGATGCATCCCAGCATGGCTGGTTTCCCTCCTTCCCCCCCATCCTATCCCTCCTGTCCTTGCATGCTCTCCTTTTCCCAGGCACAACCCACTACATCACCTCCTCAGCTGTTGGCCGGCCATCCAGCCGGCTTCTCTGAACTGCTGGTGGTGGGCTGCGGAGCCCCAAAGTGCGCCAGTCAAGAGGCCAGCAGGCTGTGGCTGCTGACGGACACTGTCGGCCCCCATGCGCTCACTGGCTTCTGTGTGCGGGGACCAATGGCGTCAGGCAGCAGCTGCTCCAGCCCCTGTCTCACCTTGCCCTGCTACAATGGCACCCCTGCCCTGCCTCGCGTTGCCTAGCCTCACCTTGCAGGACAAGCCTCCTGCCCACTGCCCCACCTGCCAGAGACCCCCTGGATCTCCCCCAACCCTGCCCGGCCCCTACAGGTGTCCCTCCCCACAAGCAACATTGAGGTGACCATGCCCAGCTTGGCCACACCTACTCAGTCTGCCATGACCACAGCCATGCCTGCCCAGTAAGCCATGCCCACCTTGCACCCGACAATTAATAAGTGGGTTTGGGGTTGCAGTTTGGGCACTCGGGCTCTAAAAGGTTTGCCATCACTGATGTAGATAATTTGTTATTCCTTCCCCATTCCCAAAATTCACATTTTTTACACTTTTACTATTTCAATAGATAGCAAGGAGATAGTGCAGCTCCATTTTATCATGCTTCATCATTTGTGTCCTGGGCCTGCCAACCGTGTACAGTATATATATTTGATTAAAAAAAATACATGTAGAGATCTTTGACTCAATATTATCATATAGAAATCAGGCCTGAGGAATAAAAATTCTACTCCCTTCATTTGGAGAAAAAGCATTCAGAAAAATTATGTAACATTCTTTAGCTTACTTTAATTTACATCTTTTTAATATACATCTTTTATAACATGTTCTGTATTGTTTTCAACACAGTGTGTCATATGAATAAAAAGACAGGATACCAATTTAATAAATAAATAGAGTGTCTCCCTACTCTGGGCAACTGGGCAGAGCTATTTTACTAGATGCACCCCAAATCAACTGCTTCCTCCATTGTATGTTCCATAACAAGGATAGAATTGCTGTCATGCATGATGCAAATAAGGAGCAATCCTTTGAATGAAATGTACAGAAACACAGAATAACAGATTATCAGGTGTATTTGTACTCCCATTCTGAATAATCCTTAAAGACTTTATTATGTTCTCTCTTTTAAATCTGATAGTTATTACCTGTGGACCACCTCCTCAGGTCCTATATGGAAAGGTGGAAGGATCTGCTTTCCACTGGGGATCAAGTATAAGTTACAGCTGTGCTGATGGGTATCACCTTTCCAATTCTGCTATCCTTTCATGTGAAGGTAGAGGAGTATGGAGAGGAGACATTCCACAGTGCCTACGTAAGTTCATTAAGATTAAACATTTTTATTTTTTAAAAAATATACCTACTGTTTCATATTGTAATGGTGCATATTTATGACTGAGACGATAGCAGGAGTTACTTAGAGTCAAAAGGGAATATTGTATACAAAGTAAAAGCAGGCAGGACAGCAATTTCTCTTTAATGCAAATGAATTACAACTGGGAACAGAAAGTACTGTATAAGTATCATTTTCACTTTGAAATTCTGTGCAATATTCAAAATACTAAATGTGGAGTTCACTTCTGGCTATGTTACAAACTCGAGTGTATTTTTGAATTTAGATTCTCCCAAAAGTTAAATATGTTTTAGTTGCAATTAAAACACATTCCTGGATAAAATTATATTTTCCTGTCTATCACCTCTGGCTATTTCTACACAGCCACTGGTCATACCCTTTTTATCTTTTTGTATAGATTCTGTTTTTTTCCTAAAACTGCTTGCTCATATGATATCAGCTAGCCATTCTTTCAGCTGGCTAGGGAGATGGTACAAAACCAGCAACTAGCAACTGCCTGCTTGTTCCATTCTTTCCTCGCTGTATTTGTTTTTCCATTGAGAGCGAGGTTAGAACTAACATATTAGCAAGGGGAAATGAATAGAAGTATCCTAGTGCTTTGGCTGCAGGAGAGAAACTGCCTGTTTTGCTACAGGTCTGGATAATTACCTAAGTCAATAATTAGATGGCTAATCTTTGTAAACTGCACAGAATCCTCACAATGTTAAGAAGACACAATAATCTCTCAATTAAGCCATACAGATTGATTGATGTTTACAAGTAGAAAATCCTTAAATTGTCCCAAATAATTCATTTTAATGGAATAGGGCTCAAAGCATCCTCTATGTATCAAAATCATTATTTATTTTTAATTGAAATATATACAAGAAATCTTGGTGAAATGATGCATAAAGATATGCATTATCCATATTGCATTATTTATACACACATACGAAAGCATTCTGAATATATATCGATCTATTTCTGCTAAGTTTTTGCAAACATTTATGAAAACAAAACCGATTAAAATATTTTTAAAGGCATCTTACAATTTTGTTATGAAACCACCAAAAGTCATTAATTGACTATCTAGGGTGTTTGGAGGAAAAATAGAAAATCAGATCTTTCTGATGATTTGGGCATGATAAATTTTCTGAGCTTATCACGAAGTTATTTTGCTATCTAAATCCATAAGAGAAAAATCTCAATGGAAAAACATCCTTTGACTGATTGATTTTCATATTTTTTACATGTTCCAACCTCCATGCTGTCCATAATGTGCCCACCATTTGTCTACTTCCTCCACAGATATAGCTGCATCAAGCCTTGTGATTCCCATTTCTTATGGGTTCTCTTTTCATTTTTTAGTCTTGAAAACAATTTAGCAATAAATAGTGTGGCTCCTTTTATCATGAATCAACAAATGATTTTCTTGTCTGTTTCTTAAGGCTCTGCATTAATATTCTTTCTGTGTAACAGCTGTCTATTGTGGAGAACCTGGTGTTCCAGCTAATGGGAGACTCAGCGGTAAAAGTTTCACCTACAGATCTGAAGTCACTTTCCAGTGCAGACCATCTTTGATATTGATAGGATCTTCAAGGCGAGTTTGCCAAGCTGATGGTACATGGAGTGGAATTCAGCCCACATGCATTGGTAATTTATTCATTTACTTATTACCATTGAGCAGCAAAAAAGAAATAAATTGACTAAGTTGTTTGGAAGGGATTTGAAGAAATATTTAAAAAGGCAACAAATGGTTGATCTTATTTCTATGCTGTCAATATTTTAACAAAGCCCAATTATATTAATGGTTCTTTTTTTTTGCATAGTCAATGTATCTTTGTCTGCTGCTAAAGGAACAAAATGTAATGCTACTCTACTAGTATCCTCTTTCCAATAAGAATATGAAAAGTCTAGTAAATATAAATTAATCTAGATCAGATTTAACTTTCATTCTATTAAGAGGATATAAAAGTATGCCCCTTGTATTCTTTATTGATACTAAAACTCTGAGTTCAGAGGTTTTCCTGCACTTCCATTTAAACTTTTGCACACAATTCATTGTTATAATGCTGTTACTAAGCGAAAATAACTAAAATATCAAGATTTGCTTAAGACAGCATGTTACATTTGTGAGATATTTATTTTTATTAGATGATAAAACACTGTTAGATATAAACATCAGTTATATATAAGACAAACGATAGGAGTTTCTCTAAACAAAACTTAAGAAATTGCTCCAGCCAGTAAAGTACCAGACACAGAAGCATGGGAATGCTGTGATAATGCTAAAATCTGACTTGAGAGGGATTCTCATCTCAGTTTCTCTTCAGGTATTCTCCCTGACCACTCATTTTTCAAATTTCCCTATTGATAACAATATGTGAAAGGGAATTCTGATCACATTTGTCTGTATACAAATAGTTTTTTTTTCAATCACCTTTAAGAATGTATTACTCAAAAGTACAAGTTTGGAAAATAAGGAAGATGAGGCCAAATGAACGGGGGAGGGGCATTTGGATCCAAGTCATTTCCATTTCTTCACATATTTTCAGCAATTATACAATCAAATGAATATCTGAACAGGGGATTGTGTTCACATTAATTTAAGGTGGTGCATTAAGACTCAAAATGGAACCTATGTGTTGTTTTATATTTATTATTCATCACTCAATTTAGTACATTATAGTTCTATGACATTCAGAGTTGTATTGTTCCCATTTCCTTCTCCTCTTGCCTACCTGCCTAGTAATGACAAAATTCAGCCAGCTATCAGTATAAGACAAAGCAGTTTGACTGTCTCCTCCATATCACAAATAATACAGCAATCACTCAATCCTATATATAGTTATTTAGATGACCTCATCTCGAAAGCTAGGTGTTGATTTGTATTTTGGCTCTGTTGAATTAATTCTCAGCTTAAAGAAACTCAAAAGAGCACAATTCTTTTGAAGTCATATTCTTCTCCCTCTGAAATAGCTTTATTAAGTTAAAAAGAATCTAATTTTTTTCTTCTCACATTTATCTCTGTAAAGCAGCAGAATTTAGCAACCATGTTAATCTGTTCAAGAGCAGCTCTCTTCACTAATGCAGTACTGAAATGCTAAAGATCTAAAAAAAAGAGAACAAAATACTGTATGATTGCTATGTAGTTTCAGTTATTGTTCAAAGTATTAATTATTAAAACACACTGTGATATCCAGTAAGCTGGTTTCAGTTATTGAAATTGGCCAACAATTACTATATGGTATTTATATGGCAAAGAATAGCGAATAACCCATCTCAGAGAGAGAGAGAGAGAGAGAGAGAGAGAGAGAGAGAGAGAGAGAGAGAGAGAGAGAGAGAGAGAGAGAGAGAGAGAGAATGAATTATGGAATCATCCCACTTTCTTAGAAGTTCTAATTATAGCAACAGTCCCTCATGGAAATTGTGGAAGAAAGTATCTAGACTGTTGGGGAACAAAGCTAAATAGAAGGGACAGACTTCTCCCATCTGCCAATAATTCTTAGCCTATTCTTGGGCAAGGTAAAGAAAACAAAAATAAAGGTGCAGGAAGAAATGCTTATAAAGAGCAAGGCAAACTGAGGAGAGAATCTTTGGACCTCCCTAGTCAATGAGTGACCTAGAAACATCAAAAAACAGCAGATGTAACTTTATGTTTGAGGTCAGAGGCCTTTTTTCTCTTTCTCAAATTGCTTCAAACTCTCCTGGTTTTCTGTGGGAAAATTCCATGGTATTTAGTTAAACTACTATACTGTTAGAAAATTATTCTTAAGGCCATCTCATCAATTAAAAGTTACAAACCAAAGTTATCAGATGCTCCCTCTTATTTTCAGTGTAAACTCAATCAACAGAAACAGATATAATTCTGTTTCAAAATGCAATGAAGACAGGGAAGAAATTCAGTAATGTTGTTTTAACATCTTATGGTGGCAGAAGAGGAAGACTTTGCATATTTTATCACAGGACAGATTCAAACATTAAAATTTCCACCAGCAATATGAGATATTATAGTCTCAGGAGGGTTATATGACACACATTTCTGTTTACCATAATAATAAACTGGCTGTGATTGATTGGACTCACGACAAAAGGGCGGTGACCTTGCTATAGTATTTCTTTCTTGATTTATAGACATGCTGTTTAAGGGTAGTACCAAATCACACAAATGTTTGGACATTCATCCTAACAGAGAGGTGATGTTGAAGTAAATCCTAACTTTAATTAAATATACTAAGACAAAGTGTTTTATAGTAATAATAATCCTTTGTAAACAGCACTTACTCAAAAGAGGCCCTGCCTCCTTTTCAACTGCTGCAGCTTCAAGGTACTTAAAAAAATCATAATATTATTTTCTGCCTGGAGGAATGTTATTTTATTTTCCCATTAGCAGATGCCTAGTCAAACTGCTGATGAAACTAAAAGTCCCTTGATTGTTCAAGTACTTAAAAAAAAAAAATACCTTGTGTTAGACTCCTGGCCTCCTGACTGCTAAAGCCTTTAAGATTTGCTTTGTAAATAAGTCCATTATATATTCCAGTGACTGATTGAACTGAAAATCAAACACATTTGCTGCAGTGTATCCTAATTCTCTTTTATAAGTGCACTGGGAATTACTAAAATATCACTCTTACTATAAATAAGTGTATGAAGAACTTTTCTATTGTAAGAATATTTTGTTCCCCAAAATCTATTTCCTTCTTTCTCTTACAGGATTCAGAATACTTTGTCCCTGGGTAGTCCTTTATAATTGTTCATAGGAATGATTGGCATTCCTGTTGCTAGATCCCATAATAATCATAATCATATACCAATTTCAAACTCAGTCAACAACAGCCAAATTAAGGAATCACCAAAAACACTCCCATCAACACTGACAGGGCAAGCCACTTGTGTATAAACAGAAGGCAAATCCTGCTCTTAGTGCTGATTGTATTACCTAGATGGCTAATGAAAAATCTGCAAGAAAACAACAAGCTCAGAGATCACCAAGACCCCAACCCTTAGCTACAAATATTCTCTTCTATTGGAATAATCATCATATAACAAAACTCTTCCTTAACATTGAGAAGAATATGTATTCCTTTTTAACAACAGACTACTTTTATTAAATACATGCATATTTTGTTACAGCTGAAAGGCACTAGCATTTTGTTACTACTTTTGCCTTTATTTTTGTTAATATAGCATCATTGTTGAAGTTGGTCAGGACTTTGAGCTCAATAGAGTTCTACTCACAATATGAGACTGACAATAATTCTTTCCTTCTGTAAGCCTGCATGCCTCCTGAACAGATGCCCTCATGAATGCTATGGGAAGTGGAGCAGAGCATCACAGGGGAAATTGGCAGTCACTGTCTCTCTTTCCTCCAGTGGAAACTCACTGCTGGATTCCTTCCTTCTCCTGATTGAGCAGGGGGCTGGACTAGAAGACCTCCAAGGTCCCTTCCAGCTTCTATTCTATTCTATTCTATTCTATTCTATTCTATTCTATTCTCTGTCATCCTCTAGGCAAGATGGGCAGCATATAAGTTTAATAAATAAACAAAATAAAAATAAATAAAAGCTCAACGGGCCCTTCTGAGGATAACACAAACAGAAAATATTCTAAACGTTAACACTTACTGTAGTTATGTTGATATGAAGCCTACATGTTCGCATAGCAAAAAAATAACCTCAATGTTTCATTCATAAGGAACTTCGATATCCTACACCTATACACACAAAAGTTTTATTTAAAGACACGTATAAACATACATACAGATTCTGTGCCGCTAGAATTAAAAGAGTGGTCAAATGTTCAAAGGGATAAATATAATAAATGCATCATTGTGTTAAGCACTATTTAAGGAAGCTTATTTCCCATATCTTGCTACAATCTTCCCTGTATTCCCTAAATCTGATCTGGAATGTTGATCAGCCTAACGTAAGTGATCTTATAAGTAAGTCTGTCCCTTTGTCCATGCTAGACCTGACCTAGAGATGGTGCATAATAGGAGGATTTAAAATTTGCTTCAAAACAATTTGGTAGGGTTTAGAGATCTACAAAGAAAGCAATTAATTTCTGTGATCCGATTCCAATATTTTCCTTCTACATTATATGCTTACATAATGCTTGATGTCCTTGATTCAGTGAAAAGTGTGTTTAGAATTAATTAAGAGATATAACTTTAATTTTCCATTCACTATCTGTTATCACTTCATTAAATACACTTTTTATTATAGTCATCGCTTGAAAGTACATATATTCTTTCAAAATTTGGAAATAATTTTTAAAATGACCCTATTCATTAGAATCTACTAATCCATTTCATACCTCATATGTTTTCAACTACAGATCCTGCTCATAACAGCTGCCCAGATCCTGGAACACCACATTATGGAATCCAGAATAGCTCCACAGGTTATGAGGTATTGTTCAGGGTTTATTTTTGCTATTGTATTTTGAGTATTTGTAATTGTATGTTTTTATATGCCCTTGAGTCAATGATTCCTGGCAACAGCAAAATTTTTAGAAGTGGTTTGCCATTATCTTCTTTCTAGACTGAAAGACAGTGACTAAACCAAGATGACCCAGATTGCTTTATGCCTAAAATGGGGCTCCAACTCATAGTCTCCCTATTTTTAAACTGAGGTCTTCACCATTATACCAAATTGGCTCTCATTGTATAGTTTAGGATGACCAATTTTGATTTCCCTAAAAATCTACATCTTGTGCCGTCTTAGTCTTTTCTTCATCAGCATTTAATATTCTTTATCATTTTTATTGGGAATAATGAGAACTTTGCTTAACTGAAATATCAAAATGAACAGACCTAATTTGTGCTTTGCAATGTAATATGTGAATTATATCTCAATAATTCTTTTGTTAACATCTTTCTCAGAATTTTGCAATGCACTCATCAAAATGTAATTTATCTCGAAATATAAAAATCTTGCTAAATTTGTCCATGGGAGAAAGCTTCAGGTCAAATCCATACATTAAGAAAAAGAGCATACAAAATGATATTGAAAAAATATTGTAAATAATAATGGAAATACATATATGACTACATATCTGCATACTTGTAATAACATAGATTGTGACTGAAGAAAGATAAATATCATAGAAAGTTACATTTGTCCATCAGTATCTTTTGAAAAGCCTCTTCCATCATTTTTATGATATATTCTCCATTAAATCTAGTGGAAAATTTAAATGTAAAACTTTATTGCAATATTCCCAATCAAAATGTAAAAGCAATTTTCTCCCAAGTAACATCAGAGTTACAGACCAAGGAGTTGGCATTGATTAAATAAACAATAGAATTGTCCTGCAGATACATGAATACATTAAAATCTATTTCAATAACTTTGCAAAGGTCTTAAGATAATTAAGAAGACAATGTGCTTCTTCTAGGGTGTTGATTCCTATCATATATTATTGTTTAGAATGGTAGGAAAACACCATAAGCTTTGTCTGTATGACGGAAGGGGTGGTTTCGCCATCAACTTTTTTTTTAAAGCTAATTGGTTTTGGAGAAAATATTTCTAACTTTCCATTATAATTACTTAGACTTTTTGCTTTTAGATGAAACCATTGATCTTTATTCTGCCAAGTACAACCCGTACTCAGTGGTGAAATTCAGCCAGTTTGCACCATTTTGTCAGAACTGGTAGCTAATTTTTTGTTGCCCAGGCCCAGAATGGACTTCTGGAAGCGGCATCCACACAGAGAACTGGTTGTTCACATATTTGAATCCCACCAGTGCCCCCACTCCAAAAAAGAGGGAAGAGGGAGGAAAAGCTGTATGTTGAACACAAGGGTGATGATTATTTGTTATAATTATATTATATGTCATTTGTGTATTCCTTACTACAGACCTCTTATTCTAAACATGCAATGGGGAGAAACCCATTCATTATATAGAAATAAACTGTATAAGTGGTTTAGTTAAAATTTAAAAATCAGTTTTTTTTTAAAAAAATAACTTGTTTTTAATAATTTGCCATAATTTCTCCTTTTTATTTTTCAGGTAGGGAGCAGGGTCTTCTTCAGATGTAGAAAGGGTTATCATATTCAGGGCTCTTCTACAAGAACATGCCTTTCGAATTTAACTTGGAGCGGCATACAACCTGAATGTATTCGTAAGTAAAACAAAACAGTTACTAACATTTTTTTAAAAAAGCAAGATATTCATTTTTATAATGTTTGACATTACCTATAAACTGATTTGCCTAATATGTTCCAGTGGATCTGGAATAATCCTAGTGTTCTGGGGGCAGGATATTTGCATACAATGTAAATCACGTGGTTTATAATTCTTCCAATGAAGTCAGTGACTCTTGACTGAAAAGGCTACTAAATTTCTTAGATTTCACCCTTCCCAAATCTAATCATCTGTATGACTCTCTAGATTTGGAAATTCTAAACTCTAAGTCTCTTTCCTTTAAAATTTTAAAAAGTCTCCCAATGATTATGTATTGTCAACTTATTGACTCTTAGTGACCACATATTTTCCATGATAATCTCCCAATCAGTATTTGCTTATTATTGTTATTAGTACATGTTTCCATTCTGGTTTCTTAGCTTTTCATTGCTTCAAATTTATTCATTTCTCTTCTCCCATTAACATACAAGTATATGTTGATAAAATATTTGAGGGGGAAGATAAAGTTCTGAATATATAGCTATGCAGTTGCCACAAAGGGGTTTGTTTGTCAGTAAAATATTTGCTTTACTTCCCCAATTTTGCTTTATATCCGATTTGTTTACATCTTTTATCCTGAGAAATGGATGGCATCCAGTATTTTAGGATTTCCTGTCAGTTAGAAGCCATCAAAATGCATATTTAGAAAGTACTTTGATGAAAAACAAAATTAAATTTAGTTGCTTATCTTATTTCAAATATAATGTCTACAAACATAATACAAAGGGGAAAGTATTGTTACAATGCAGCTATAGCCAGTGTAACATAGTAGAAACTTATATTTAGAGGTTCATAATAAATATATTTATCAGAGAAATCATTTCTGAAATCGGCAGAGAGAAAATAGATCCTCAAATAACATTATGGATCACTGTCTAATTTGCAAAATACTTTAGCTTCTTCATTGTAATTTCTGTGCATCACACACATGAATATTCTTGAACTGAATTGTTTTCTTAGGCCTGAATGCTCCCACCCACTGTGCATGCCAGAAGGATTTACTTTTTATTTACCTGAATTCTTTTTAACTGTGGCTGGGAATGTTTAGTCTTATTATGAGAGTAGATTAATAGTTGGGCTTATTTTAATTATGTTTTCCATTGTATTGTTGATCATTTTCATGATTCTCATTGTTGTTTTTTTAAATGTTTCAGTGGGTTGTTTTCTGCCAATCCTGCTGCTTATTTTTATGACCTTGAAAGCCAGCTTTAGAAAATGAGTTAATCATGGCAATAAGCTGCCATCCTCAGATAGCCAATCTTTGTCTTTCTGTTTGATTGAAGGCTATTTCAGTTGGCTTAAGCCACTGTTGCTTCACAAATCAGATATGAGGCAATCATTCATATTGGTTCAGTTATCCAAGTAGCAAGGTGAAAAGGCAGACTAAATAATTGAAGGTATCAATGTTAAATTGCAGAAAACCTTCTGTTTCAGTTATATTGGTCAGAGATATGTTGTGTACCACCAGTGCAATTGCAGCCATGAAGAAATACTTGTGATACCAATGTCAACTTTGAAGCACTGAGATCTCATCTAACCATTGCTAAAGAATACACTCTGTGGGCCTACAATAGCCATATACTGTGATTGTTTTCCTGATGAGGAAATAATCAAAAGGGGGATTATTAAGCCACCCTATGCCAGATAATAACAGGCATTCAATGAGACATAGGTTTTCTATATTGGGAAAGATATCTCTGTAGGTTTTATATCAAAAATGGAGATGAGACTTTGTCTGGCATTTAAATGAAAATCAGAACTTTTTTCTTTTACTGTGCTTCATAACATACAGCAGCTATATATTGGATTAGTTTTCCTCTGAGCTTCTTGGACAGGAAGGTAATCAGATGTAGCTGTGGGGAGGGAGAAGAGGCTGGCTAGGGTCCTGCAGGAAAAAGAAGTAGAGGCAGGATGATCTGGGTACCAATGTATTTAGTGGGGGAAGAATTAGACATTTATTGTCTTTATGGGAAAAAACCCACCATCTTTAGTGTAAACACCAGGTTATGTTTTCCTGGGGGATAAATTTCATAGCATCTCAATTAGCATTTCTTGCAAGATAACCTGTTGCTATAATCATCGAAGCCAGTTGCTGCCTGACTTAGATTTCACCTCAGTGACTAGCCATATAATTCAGGACATGGCTTTCAGTAAAGACTGGCTTTTCCACATCAAAACCAATGAGCTTGTAAGTTAGGAAACCTGGCCCATCTTATGGGACTTTGATTGATTGAATCTGATAGGTGCAAACTGCCAACCTGGAAGAGAGACACAAGCTTCCAGATGCAACATCCATCGGCTGATCAGTTCCTAAGTAGCAACAGCATTACAGGCATTAAAAGCATTTTTTCTTTGGCTCAGGTTTTGGACATCCAAAATCTTCTCAGGAAGATATTGTATGCATTATTTTGATTGGAGATCTTGGTTCTTAGAAGTTAGTTTATTAATTTATTTAACTAATATCAGTTGCCAAAGCAATTTTAAGTATTGTACAAAGACTAAAGAACAATTTAAAGCAGTCTAAGCCTGCTTTATGCAAACAATAAGCAAACATTAAACTCCTACACTAGAGAAACAATATATATAGCAAGTGGGATCATAAAGCACCGTGTTCCAGGGCTCGTTGAAACAGCAAAATCTTAATAGCTTTCCTGAAGGGCTAGGACTAAATAAAATTCAGGGGCAATGCTATTCCAAAGAGTAGGGGTGGCTACAAGTAATGCACCTCTTCCAGAAAATGTCATTGCCTTAATGATGGGAACAGAAATATATCTGCTCTTCCAGATCTTACTGGATAGGCAGAAAAATCAGAATAAGAAGGTGCCATATATATTCAGGCTTTAAGCTATGTAGGGCTTTAAGGTGACAACCAGCACTCTGAATTGCTCACAGAAGTCAAGGGGTAACCTCTGCAAAATAGAGTTGTCATATGAGTGAAACGAGAGACAGTCATAACTAGTGTTGTTGCACAAAATGCACCAAGGAGTTCTATGCGATGCTGAGATTTGGACTCAGTGGCTCATAGTATGGCAGATCTAGTGGGCTGCACAACACAAGAGGTAAAAGCTATTTTTAGAGATGTAGAGAAAACATCAGTATGGAATTCCTTTGAGGCTAGTGAAAGCTTTTGCTTTTTTCTTATTTTATTGGTCTCATTTTATCATTAATGATTGATTTGAAATGTTATCAGCTCTTTAAATTCAGCTTTTGAAACGTTCCATCTCTTAAAAAATTTACTAAGCAGTGATTAGTACGTTTCATACTTCAACTGAACCTCAAACTACTTTAGAATTTTTAGAAAGTTTTCATAAAGCCAGTACACTTTTCTTGGAATATTTCTATTATCTCATTAATCTTATGCTTGTTGTTGAGGAAGCTGGCTTCTCTCTAAGAAAATCCTCTACACATTAAGCAAGTGAGCAGAGGGCTTTCAGAATTGATCCATTATGTATACTATTCCATAAGGACAAGGAAATTTTATACCCCCATATTAGCTTCCTATTCATGTTTCCACTTTATACTCTACTATGGTACCATTTTGCTGATATATTTTGTTCCCCAAGCACTTCATGAAAGTCTACTCCAATTCTTGGCTATTTGGTGAACTTTAAACTTTATACAAATACTGCCGCTTATACTTCATAGTTTTTCACAGCAAGGATTGTCAGTTTCTTCAAAGAGAATTATCTGTTTAAGAAAGATAAATATATTTCATCTCACGTGGGGCCTTTCTGATTGGACAATAGCTGGTCCCAGCCATCAATCTTTGTTCACCCTTCCTGCCTCACTATCCAGGTTGATTTGATGCTTGCTTCATTAATTGCCTCAAGATACTTTGCTAGTGTTTCTTGTATGTGATACAAGAGATCACAATAAAGGAAAGCAGGTTGCTCACCTGTAAGTATAATTTTTTTAAATAGCCTTTTCATTCACATGATTCTCTTCTTGACTGGGGATGGGTGGGGAGCTGTTTGCCCATGGAATTCAGGCAGCTTCTTCAGGCATGCACAGTAGGATGGAGCAGTCAAAAACCACTAAAACAATTTTGGTTAAGAATGTTTTCAAAAGCATAATAAGCCTATTTGTGGAAGCACAGACGGTCACTCCAAGAGCTATAACTGCAGCTAAGCAGTCTGTTTTTTCTTCTCTTTTTCCTTGTTACCTCCTAATGATTGTTGATGCATCATGTGCAGGACAATGCGATGTGTTGCAGTACATTCAGATTAGGCTTTTTCACATTTCTTTCTTACATTGTTTCTTTATTAGGAACATAGAGAAACACATAACAATAGTATGCTAATAATATGTTTTTCCAAGCAAAAGTGTAAAGTAATAAAATGTTTGTCACTTATCCTACAAATGGCCTAATTTGTGTTGTTTTTAAAGAATGTTTCCAATAGCTTTTTAAATCTTTTTCAGCTCATGGCTGTAGGCAGCCAGAGACGCCAGCGAATGTAGATGTAAAAGCAATAGATCTACCTACTCTAGGCTATACTCTGGTGTATACGTGTCAGCCGGGATTTTTTCTTGCTGGTGGATCAGAACACCGGACATGTAAACCAGACATGAAATGGACAGGAAAGTCACCTGTTTGTAAAAGTAAGTCACTGATAAATTAATGGTAAAGTTTAATAGTTTATAAAATCTACTTTTAACTTATTTAAAATGTTTAAAATATATCTATCATCTATTTATCATCTATCATCATATTATAATCATATTATATATTACCTTCCTGAAGCATAGAGACATAAAATAATGAGAACAAATCATGTATACTATATTCAAGATAGAAGTTAATATCTAAATATTAACTTAATATCTATAATATTAACTTATTAATATTATTTAAATATTCCACAATACTAACATATAAGGAGTATTCATCTGTTGAACTGGCCACCTCATGGGAAACTTTGGCAAAGAGTGTCATGAGCTGTTGGGACATTTTGGAGTTGCTTAGATCCCAAGGGCAGCACTCCCTCTTCTTTTCCATTGCTACCTCCAGAAACATCACTACTGAAATGTTGACTTATCAAAATTTCTGCTCAGTAAGGAGAAACACGGGGAAAGGGGGAATCTTATTGGCTGATATTTTATAAAAGGAAGTACTACGCCAATGGAGAGGTGATCAAAGTGTACAAGTACTTTTAGAAATAAGGCAAGTTCTGAGGAGTAATTAATTACGCCTTTCACTTCACTTTAGTTGTTGAAGGTTTCTCCACATTGAGAAAGTATGACTGTTAAAGACATTTTGTGGATGCTAAGCAGGCAGAAATCTTGATTACTATCAGTCAGCAGTTATGCAAAATACATCTGTGAATGTAGATTGTCCTTCCTCTTTGTTTGTATTAATAGTCTTGAAATCAGAGAAGATGAAAGGAAGTAATTTAGATGTATCTCATATAACTCATGTCTTTCAGATAAACACATTTTTATTAGAAAAGGTGCAAGCAGATTCCTTTCAGTCTTAAGTATTATTACCAATTAAGAAAACATGAGGGTTAGATGGAATTTCAAAGAAGCACTATAAATAATTGCCCAGATGTACAGGCTTTATAATTACTGTATAAAAGTTAACCTGACACTAACAAGAAGAAGGATAGTTTAATTTATCCACATAGTTTGTCAGAGTTAAGATGTTAGAATAGACTGGGAGAGTTTGGTTACTGAGTGACTTTGGAATAGTCAGTGTATCTCAGCCAAACATTTTTCACAGATTGTTATAAAAAAAATAGGAGGAGGGAGATGTATACCTATAAGTTTCTGAATAAAAGGAAGAATAAATCTGATAAGTAAATGTTATTGATTCAAGGACAGCTGCCAATATATAAAGTTAACCTAATTTCTTATGGGAATAAAAGATCTGCTCCTTTTGGCAATATATGTTGCCTACTTGTTTGTTTTCTACTTCTAGACCTTACATTTATAATAAAGGAATGTTTGTGGCATTTTGATACCAGTGGGGAAAAAGCTTGATTTATTCTTGAGCGTGGAAAAAAGCCTCAGCAGACATGTTTGAGTTTGTCCACAAGAAGAATGGACTAAAGAGGGTGTAAATACTATGCTCTGAATAAATGATTTATTTTTGCTTATCATTAATATACAAGTAGCAAATTAGAGCCACCACATTTTTAATTCCAGTAATACTTTTCACAAACTATCTGGTATTTGTAACTATGGATCTTAAATTGTCAAACAGGAAAGAAGGAAGTTGATGCCTAACTAAGGTCTATGACAATTCACCATGGTGAAGTCTCCATAGCCAACTCACCATAGATAACTTGCCATGGCTAACTCCCCATGGGACAATTCGTCACGGCCAACTTATCACAAGACAACTCACTGTGGGACAAGAGTTACACTAATATCAAAGAAATGGTGGAATGGAATCATTAAAAAAGGATGCAAAAGGAGGGACAAAATGAAATGTGAATGACAATTTTTTTTTTATTTACTTGAAATAAATTGAGTTGTTAAATTGTTCCACGATGAGTTGTCCCGTAATGAGTAGTCTATGGCGAGTTGTCCCATTCTGACTAAAACTATGTATTATGTTATTACTCCATCAAGTGCCTGAAAACAGAGTTGGAATGGGTAGGAAACAACTGAACAAAATTGAATAAATAACAGGAACTAGGAGGAAGCAAAATACACATTTAACTGAATAAAGAATTTAATATATCCTTGCTAAAAAAGTACTGATAATTATGTTCAATAAATTGCAATTAAGGGATCAATTTAATAACTTATCTTAGGCTATGTATCTTAGATATATGTAGGCCTCACCCTCTTCCTCTTAAGTTGGTTGGGGAACGGTTTGTAGATGATAGCTGAGGGAAGTAGAAAAATGCCTTCACTGTCTTTTTTATTCCTTCTTCAAACAATTTATCTCCTAACTTCTTGCCTTTTCAGAATCTATTGTCTGGATTCCCCCCCCCCTTTTTTTTTTTTTTGGTCAATTTGTCTTGTTTAACAGTCTCCTCAAAGTTATTCCTCAAGATCTTGAGGAGGCTTCTTAGGGTCAAATGGCATTATTTCAGATTTATACCCATAAAGACACACATATCATGCAAAATTAGGACTATTAAGGTTAAGAGGTTGCTAGGGCTGCTGCCTGGAGCTGCTCAGAGGAGAAGTGAACCAGAAAGTGCAAGCTAGGGAAATTTGGCTAGAAAATGGCGGTAAAAAAGATAGGTGAAGAGAAGGAGTAAATGTGAAATTTTGGAGATTTATCCATATGCTTGGTGAAGTTTCAAAGAGATTTTCTAGCTTGGGCTAGCTACTTGACTTCATGTTCCAGCCCTTGAGAGAGAGGAGGGGCTAAAATTCAGACTCAAAACAGTCTCCCCCGCAAAAAAAGAACTATTGAAATATCAGTTCTTTTTTCTTACCTATTGTCCTGGGATTGAAACTTTGTAAAAGTATTTTTAAAATTCTGGAATTGGGCATGCCCAGCAGTCTAGCCAGATTTGCCAGTGACACCAAACCATTCAGAGTGGCAAAAGCAATAAACATCTCTGAACAATAGGGAAATGGGCATTAAAATGTCAAATGCCATTCAGTATTAACAAGGATAAAATATTGCACGTTGGAGCCAAAATATTAACTAGTCATACAAACTAATTACATCTGAAATAACAGTGATTGATGAGGGAAGAGCTCTTGAAGTAACACTAAACATTTCAGTGATTGTTTCAACACAGTGTGCATCTGCTATAAGAAGGCCAAAAGCTTGTTAGGAATAATTAGAAATGATATTGAAAATAGAGATGCCGACATTATAATGCCCTTGTATAAATCAACAGTGTGATTACCTCTGGAATATAAGAATATACGATATAGTTCAGAAAAGGGCAACTGAGATGATCAAAGTGCTGGGTCAGTTTCTGCATGAGGAGAGGCTGGAACATTTGGGACTTTTTTAGTCTAGAAAGAAGGTGAATAAGGGGACATGACTGAGATGCATAGAATTGTGCGCGATGTGGATAAAGTGGACAAGCTTAAGCTGTTTTCACCTTCCAAAAGTATTAGAACCAGAGATTACCCTATGAAGTTGAATCCTGGAACATCCTTAGACAAAAAGAAAGAAGTGCAGAACTTTTAATTAAACTTTAGAATTTGCAAACACAAGATAAATATCAGCTAATAGTTTGGCTGACTTCAAAAATATTGAATTTATCCAATATTTTTGAAGCCAGCCAAACTATTAGCTGACACTTATGTTGGATAAATTCATGAAATTCATGAGAATCAATAGCTATTAGCCTTAATGGCCTTAATGGTATTGTGACTGCCTCTGAAGGCATCTTCTGAGAAACTGGGGACTTCCTTATGTAGTTTATTGGCTAATATGAGAAGAGATTGGTGGATTACATAGACAGCTGGGCACTACTTATGTTCTTATTTTGAACTCTACTCCTACTTTCCTGAAAAGTCGATTTTCCCAAAAAGGTTTTATTCATTTGCATATCTAATTAATAAACATGCCATTTTATGTATTTTTTAAGCATGTGCATTCGTCCTCCAAGATGGTAAGCAGGAGATTTTATTGTCAAGCAACATCCTAAAGTCTCCTAAGTTGGTTTGTGTTCACTCATACTTGCTTCCTAATGTCTTTTAGCACTATAGGCCTAATAATGGAAATGTTCTTTGAAGAAAGGGGGATCTGATTCTGCTGCCTTGACTGTAGCTTAGACCAGTTTTAGAATGTATCTCTCTCAAAACTGATTGTATGTCTCCATTTATGGAGGAAAACAGCTTTTTTTTACTTGTAACTATTGGCTTGTCGAGAATCATATATCATATTCCAATCCACTACTCTTAAAGCCCAGCTTGCTTCAAAAGGATATCACCACAGCTCTTGATGTTGCTTGCTATAGGTTCCTATAGGTGAGCTGGATAATCTGAAAGTCTTCATGTGGTTGCCTGCTGGTAGAAGGATGAGAAATAAGTAGCCATCGTGTACTATAACATGCAAACATTGTTTGATGTGAGCTAGGAATGAGCAACCTATGGCTTTCTAGGCATTGCTGAAGTAACATTGGTCATACTGCATCTGATGAGAGTTAAGGATTCAGGACTATCTGCAGAGTTATCAGTTGTCGAGTCTTAGTCCAAGTGGAAGATCTCTTTGTATACTTACATACTAATCTCTATTTATGTCACTGTCTTAGTTTTTCATGTGTGTCTTTTAGTCTTTGATGTGCATATAATATAATATAAATTCAATATATAAATAAACTTCCTCTGAAGATCTGCAAGAAACCCACTTACATGTTTTTCACCTGATGAGAAACAAACAAGCTTTCCTATAAATCTATACAGTGGTGGGATTCAAATATGTGAACAACCGGTTCTCTGTGTGGATGCTGTTTCTGGAATAGAAAATTAGCTACCAGTTTTGCCAAAGTGGTGCAAACCAGCTGAATCCCACCATTGAATCTATCTATCTATCTATCTATCTATCTATCTATCTATCTATCTATCTATCTATCTATCTATCTATCTATCTATCTATCTATTAAAAATAGAAATTAACAGTACTGTATAAGCAAAAAGGGAGGTTTGATGAGAATTGCTCTTTACAGATCTATGCTTTCTGAATTCAACATGTTAAAGATAGCTGTTGTTTCTTTTTGTTTATTACTGTGCTAGCCCTTTCCAAACAGGAACAAGATTAGGCAGGACTATTTCCTGAAAGCCTGCCTATTTTTCCTTCAGTAAGTCCTCTTTCCCACATAGTCATAGTTTACATTCCTAAGCACATGTCATTGGCCATTGTGAGTTAAGAAGCATCAAATTATGCTGGTACTAGAACAGCAGGAGAGGCACTCCAAGATAAAAGATTTGTATATGTAGTGCAGCAAACTTGAATTGTTTGTTATATAGTAATATTACCAAGAGGTTTTCCAACCACTGGTGCATAGTAAGAAATATGACCATAGTCCTGGCTGTTTCTGGCTTATAATTATGTCATTAGTTTAGTAGAATTTAATTATAGATTTTAAATGTGTATAAAGACATACATGTACACCTTCATCATTACTAGTATAAGGCTCTCTGTTATAGCACTGTGGTTGATATAAAAATGTTTTTTTTTTAGAAATGAGAGCAGCAATTATCCCCACCATTAGCAAACTTGCCATGATGCAAACTTTGAACTCCTGATTTTTTTTATTTTTTTCTCATAAGTATACAGAACTATATCTGATTGAATATGTAATACAGATTTTAGCTATGTCTACCATAAATAATAGGCATATCAGAAAACACACAATTGCCTCAATCAAGCATTATGTATCAACAAATAAAAATATGTTTATAAAAATGATAATTTGTCTTTTTACTTGTAGGTAAAGGAGTGAGAGAAGTTAATGAGACAGTAACTAAAACACCAGGTTTGTATACGAGAACAGTTTTAGAACTAAATACCTTAAATTCTTCTGCAGTTTCTCATACAATAAAAATACTTCTAGCCTTTATCAGAACCACTTCATCACTGATATAAACATTTACCTAAATACTGGAATATAAGCTCAATTGTCTGAAACTGCACTTTTTTTTTTAAAAGGCATCCATTATTTTGGCATTATTTAGGGGTGTTTTCATTACCCTGCCACACACAGAACTTGTGAATGAGGTCTGGAGGCCAATTCTGCCACTTTATGCAACTTTTCTGTTTGGAAGGAATATGAAAGGGGTCTAGCAGTCCTAGCAGAAAACCACTTAAGTATGAGCAACCAGTTGCTGCAGCTGCCAAACAAGCCAATACAGTTCTAGGCTGCATCAACAAAGTGTCAAGATAATGTGTTACATCAGTATAGCTTTATACTGCTTGGAACACGCTGCATCCAATTTTGGTTACTGTCATATAAACAAGATATTGAGACTCTAGAAAGAGTCCAGCGAAGAGCAACAAAGACGATTAGAGGGTTAAAGGCTAAAACATAGAATGAAGAGTTGCAAGAATTAAGTATGTCTAGTCTAACAAAGAGAAGAACCAGAGGTGACATGATAGCAGCCTGCCAATATTTGAATGTCATAAAGAAGAGGGGGACAACCTATTCTCCAAAGCACCTGAGTTCAAGCAAGAAGTATTGGATGGAAAGAGAGATTCAACTAGGAGAAATTTCTTGACAGTAACAGCAATTAATCAGTGGAATGGATTGCATTCAGTGCACCAACAAGGGAGTTTTTAAGAAGAGATTGGACAACTATTTGTCCAGAATGATATGGGGTTGAGCAGGGATTGGACTAGAAGTCATTCACGGTCCCTTCTAACTCTGTTATTCTGTTATGATATATAGGACTGTAAGTGATCAAAAAGTGATTTCAAAAAATATTCTGAATACAAGCACACTGTGCACCTCTTCACTACTTATTAATACAACCACATCTTTTCCCCACCCCCTTGCAAGCTTGAAAAAAAGATAATGCCATGTTAAAGGAAAACAAAACCTAGTTAATGTTAATACAACTCTTAAAATCTTTTTCTGGCTTGTTCAGAAGCCTGAAATAAATTAGGCCATTCTAATCCATAACAAAAAGATGTGCTGTGCTTGAATGTACAGCATGGGTAGGTAGACAGAATATTTTAAATTATATGGTTCTCTAGTTGCACAGCCAATACATAATTTTATCATCATAAAACTAGATGGTGTTAGTTCTAGCACTAGAAACTAATTTCTAAAAACTAAAATTTAGAACTAGATTTCAAAAGACCTGTATATTATATATCAGAATCAAGAGAGACTATTGCTTTATATCAGACGATGTACTCTAATGGAGAGCCTTATCATAAAAGTAGGAGTTAAACACACCACAGTTGTCATATGTAAAAATCATTTTGTTTCCATCTTATAAATAGTGAGCTAGAGAAAAGCAAATATATTTAAATAATCAAATTCATTTCATAATGCATTTTTTAATTTGTTCAATTTTAAATTTCAGTTTCTCCTAGATTTGCTTAACTTTCAAATTCATAACCATGGTCTCAGAAGAGGATTTACAGGATTCACAGAGAAAAATACCATGTGACAGTAATGTGCAAATCAGCCAGGACATGATTTGGAAATGGAAAGTTTCTACTGAAATTTGGGATTTGAAATTGAAATATAATAAAATTACATTCTAAATTTGACCATTGATTCTATAAATAGGCCTTCCTCTTGAATCACAGTAGTCTTTGGGATTCTCTTCTTCCTAACTTTTCTTAAACAAAAACAACTTTTCAGAAGTTCTTGAATTCTGGTTCAACCTGTCATAGATTAAAAGCTGTCACATAAGAAAACAAAACACTAACTTTAAATATGTTCTTATCCCAAAGGATGTCTAACAACACCCATAGAACTTCCTTCCTTCTTCCTTGACACATGATCCTTGTAAGTGTTGTGATATATGCACATATGGCATCCACACAAAATTACACAAAATTAAATAGAAGTTAAATAATTTTTTTTAACATTATGCCTAAGAGCCTGCGATTTGAAGATCCTGCTATTTCCACCTAAAACTTAAGATTTTATATGAAAATGCTAAAGTTTTGTGAGATTTCAGAGATTTTATATAGTATTGCTTTTTTATTATATAGTTTTTGTGTGGAGTAAGCTTTGGAGTCTCTGTGCGCCCTCACGAAACAAAATAACAACACTAGCAGCATTTAACTTTCATTGCCCAACGAAGTTTTCTCTGTACTGTATTTCCACTCGTATAGCTTACCCAGGTACCAGTGAAACATATATTGATGCCAAGAGAGAATAAGAATTTAACTTGCTCAAGAATGTTTATATAATTCTCACCTAGATGTTTCAGCCTGAGAGCTAATTAGCCCATAATGCTACAAAATGAAAAATTCATGTCACAAGACTAGTGTTCATAATTATCTGGCTACCTGTGCATTCTTTTCGGTGGTGTTATAACCTTACAATGCTTTCAGTGTGTCTTCAGTGTTGAATGTGCAATATGTCTCTTTATTCTTTAAACAAAATGTGTTTCCTGTGTCTCTCACTTACCAACAAAACTGAAATCTGAGATTAAATATTAATTAATTTGCACAATATAATTGATACTGCATGTTACGTTACAATCCACCTATTTCCTTGCTGACTGAGAGTTTTGTTTTTGCTTGTCTCCCAAATAATGAAAGAAAATCAAGAATCTGTGGCCACCTTACCACCATGAAAAAAGAGGCTAACAAATAAGCTTCCTTATATTTTAAACACAGTTACCATGAGAGTAACCAGAACGGAGAACATTGTCTTATTATAGGCATGAGCATTGGACATCACATTAATTTTTCATGAAAATTTTAAACTATGCACCAATATCCAATTTTTCGTGTATGATTCTCAGTGAAATAAATGGGATTTAGCCATGTCTACTATTTGTCAAGAATGCATCCAAACTGCCTTGAGTTATTTTTTTTTCTAATGGATGAATGCTTTTCTTAACTAAACATTATTTCAAAAACATTTCATTACAATGACCAATGTGCTCACATTTAAAAAAAAAAACTATTTCCTCATATCTTTTTGAAGAGCTAGAAAAGAGATTGAAATAGGGAGAGAGAATAGTTTCTTGAGATTTATTTTAAAACAAATTTAATTAATTTGGCATTTTCCTACCTATTTATTATGGAGACAATTTTTTGGGAAAAAAATATGTATATTGGACAAAGTTATGTATCCAAAGGAATACAGGGGAAAAAATATATAGGAAAATATGTGTGCATGTGTGTGTGTGTGTGTGTGTAAAAATCATGCACATTTGGGGGGGAGGGGAGGAGATACTATGAAAAAGGGAAAAGCAGAGTTTTAAATTAAGAAACTGAAGGGACTTGGAATCTATGCATGAAATTAGTTTACTTCAATTTGAAATTATTCATATTCGTATTTTATAACATAAAAAACCCAAACTTCTATACATCAAGGTTTACCAGAAGTGTTATCATTGATATATTAATATTTCAGATTGACATATATTGCCTATTATGGAACCACCTGTGTGCCGGCTATAATAATGTATTGAATAACTTGTTGAATTAAAAAAAGGCATCTGTTTGTAAACCAAAGTGATTTTCTTTTGTCTTTCTTCTTCAGTTCCCTCAGATGTATTTTTTATAAATTCATTGTGGAAGGGGTTTTATGAGCATCTAAGGAAAAGACAAGTTGCAACTCTTACAGTTGACTGGTTCAATGCTACAAGCAGTAAGGTGAATGCTACTTTCATTGACACATCCAGCATGAAACTTAAATTATCAGGTGAGATTAAAAATTGGACATCTGTTATTGAAGCTGTGTAAATGGTATGCTGATTAAATGGTCATGGACATTCATGGATATACAGGTAGTCCTTGTTTAACAACCCTTACTGAGACTGGAAACTCCGTTGCTAAGCAAAACAGTTTTTAAGCAAAACATCATGTGACCACTATACTTAGTGATGCCAGTTCTAGCAATCCTTCATGGGTCATTAAGTGAAACACACATGATGGTTGAAACTTCACATGACCATGACTTGCAATCTCCTAGTGTATTCCCCACTGAATTTACTGCAACAGTTGTAAGTGTGAGAATGGGTCATAAGTCATTTTCTTCAGAGTTACTAAACAAATGGTTGTTAAGTGAGGACTACCTATATATACTATTTCAAATCCTAGCCATATGTCTATTATTTCAGAACCCTGTGAAATAAAGTTAATCTTTATAGTTAAGTTTGATAGATATATTTCATATGAAATTGGTATTTTTTGCTCTGACAATTGTCATATTTTCTTTTTTATAAAAAGTTTCTTTAACCTGAAGCATACAAACTAACAATCTGGAAAACATATGTTGAAAAAGATATCTATTAAGTGGGCAAAATCACAGATGGTTGGTGAAAAAAAATGGAAACTAAATTTTAACAATTGTATTGCTATAGTTTGGACTTTATGATTTCCTAACACACTAAGTTAGTTTTTTCAGATAGAATTAAAGTCTGTACTCTCACTATTATGACTTTCAGTATCTGCAATTTCCATTTGATTTTTGGATTGGTATACATACTCATAATTTTCTTTTTGTACATGACACCCCATTTTACTCTGGAATCATTCTTTTTAATGACAATGGTAAAACATGGATTTTTTTTTACTAGTAATGTAATATTTTTGTGAAATATGTCATATTTAAAATGTTTCAGCATCAGTTGGCCATTAATAATTTTAGGTTAATATGCAACTGCTTTTATTTTTATTTTTTTAAAAAAATGGCTTGTCTTTTCAATGGCCTAAATTTAAAATGACAGCTAGTTTTCTAAACATATATTTAAACTTAAAAATTCTGTGTACTTTTTATAAATCGGTGTTCAGCCTGAAAGTACCACAGTTACCTCCTTAGAAGGAGTAAGTACTTTACTGAAGTGCTAGAAATAAAAGAAAAAAAAATTCTATGGAGGGTGGTTAAGACAGTGCTGAAATACAGACTTACAAGTTCAGTGCACACTTAATTTGGGCTAATTAGGACTTGTATTTGGACTTTGTAATATTTGAAGGCCAGAATTATATGTGATAGGTTAATCATATAAGTAAGTAAAATAGTATCAGCAGATTACTAGACAATTGATAAGTTCTGCTGATTTCATCATTGCCACAACTGTACTAGGATATGTTATAAAAATATTGCCATAACATTCAGGTAACGTATGGTCAAGTTTAGAAGCTTTACTCTAACCAAGTAGGGATTTTATTTGCCTTTTTACATATGTTTGCATAGTAACCGTGACTTAGTCCTCATTTTATGTAAATGAAGTTTAAAGGGTAATTAAATTTATTTCACGTACAGATTTCCTGAATACATATCCCTGTACAAAAGCTTGCTTTCAAATAATTCTTTTTAGGCACTTACAAGAAAGAAGAAGCTCATTTGCTTCTGAAAGTCTATCATGTTAAAAATCCTAAAGAAGGTTTTGTAAACAAGCTTGAAAACGACAAGTGGGCATTGGATGGCTATGTAAGTACACATCTCTGGAAAAAATATGACTGTATTCAACAATTTGAATATGTAACCAAATATGAAACGTGTAATTATATTTTATATAATATTGTGTACCATATAATTTTCTTCTTTGAGTGGGATCTTACATGAATACGTATATATTATACAGGTAATTGATTTACTCCCACAACTGAGCCCAAAATTTCTATTGCCAAGCCAGACAGTTGTTAAGTGAATTTTGCCTCATTTCCTGACTTTTCTTGCCACAGTTATTAAGTGAATCACTGCAAGTGTTAAGTTAGTAGCAAGTGAATCTGGCACTGTTTACATTTTGAACATGTGACCATGGGGATGTGGCAAAGATTGTAAGTGTAAAAAAAGGTCACAAGTCACTTTTTTCAAATAAATGGTTGTAATTAGAGGACTACCTATATGAGATTCGCCCCCCCCCCAAAGAAAGGATATATTTGGGTAAAGCATTTAAAGGCGGGTCTGGAGAAAATGCATTGATGCAATTGAAACATCCTTTCTCAATGCGTGAAAGCAGCTAAGTCCTCTGAAAGGCTTAGCGCATCTGCTTCAAAGTTTTTCTTTAATGATCTGCATGTTTGTGTCAGTGGTGGGATTCAGATATCTGAACAACTGGTTCTCTGCGTAAATGCAGGCCTGGGCCTAGAACGGATTTCTGGAAGTGGCATCCATGCACTTCTGGTGGGCCAGTCTAGGCCTGGGAGACCTCCTCCAGGCCTTTGAGGCCTGGAACGGACTTCCGGAAGCAGTGTGCAAACTCAACAAAATTTAGCTACCAGTTCTGTTGAACCAGTGCAAACTGGCTGAATCCCTCCACTGGTTTGTGTGCATGCACTGGCAAAATCTTCTGCTGGAAGAAGCAATCAGAAAAGAAAGCTGGCTTTTGAAGCATCCTTGAGGTATCTACCAGAGGATATAGCTATTCTAATACTTCCAATAGAGATAGTTGCAGATATCTCTAGTTGTTAATTATATTACCGTAAATGCCGGCGTATAAGACGACTTCCGCGAGCGCTGAAATCGGCGCCAAAGACGGGGGTCGTCTTATACGCCGAGTCGTCTTATACGCCGGAAATACTGGTAGTTTCCGGCGTATAAGACAACGTTCTAGGAATGCGGCCTGGCTATAAAGACGGGGGTCGTCTTATACGCCGGGTCGCCTTGTACGCCGGTATTTACGGTACATGCTTAACTGAAAGTTGTTATCAATAAATTATAAAATTCCCATGTTGTTTTTGAAAGAGATTAGCAATCATGTATCAACTGGTCCTCCTTACTGAAAAATGGGAGTTCCCCAGAGTGGGACTTATACTTGCTTACTGGCTGCCTTGTTTAGCAACCATTCAAAGCTATAGCAGGTTGGAAAAAGCCCAGTTTTGCAACTAATCCTCACCGCAATCACATGATCACCATTTGCGAGCTTCATAAATAGTTTTCAACAAGCAGAATGAATGGAGAACATAGAAATAAACATTGTTGTCCTGTGATGTCTCGTTTAACAACAAAAGCAGAAGGGACATCACTAGTCTGGCATAGTTACATGATTTTTCACTTAACAAACACGACCCCAATTGTGGTCATTCGACAAGGACTACCTGTATAGGTTTCAAATGTTCAAGTATTTCTCCCATGAATGCATATAAGAGTAAGGAAAACAGAATAAAGAGACTTTCACACAACATGCACCTGTTTGTGAAAGAATAACAGAAAAACAAAACAGGGAGGGACCTTGGGGGGTCTTCTAATCCAATCCCTGCTCAAGCAGGAGACCCTATACCATTTCAGACAAATGGCTGTCCAGACTCTTCTTAAAAGCTTCCCACAGCTTCTGGAGGCAAGCCGTTCCACTGACTACTTGTTCTCACTGTCAGGAAAAGAGAGATCAAAATAAAGAAAAGTCTATTTCACTGTGCCTACCTGCCTTCCTCTCTTCCTCTGTATCTCTCTTCCTTCACCCAAAAAGGCCAGAGGGAGATATTAAATATATCCATCAACTATTACTGAATAATACATGTAATATAAGCATATGCAAGCTTCATAAATTTCTAGTGTCTATTTCAGAAGAAGTACTTTACCCTCTGTCTCATACCTGCTTTTCAAAGTCTGTTTGTGTGTGTGCGTGTGTGTGTTTGTGTGTGTGTGTGTGTGTGTGTGTGTGTGTGTGTAGGTATCTCATGTGCCAGCACAGTTAATACACTTATAAAGGTATATGTCTTCAACAATGCTTTCATTTCAATTATTCATAAAGTCTGATTGTTAAAAGTATTTAAAATATGTTTTATATTTGTCAGTCATCTTGAGCTGCTTGGCTGAGTTGGGCAGCTACAGAAATTGAATTAATAGATAAGTAAATATGAAATATGAAATATGGATAAATTAATAACATTGGGAATTGTGGATTAGTTTATTATGTCAACAAATTGGTTTGAGACAGATTCTTTCTGTTTCAGGTGTCATCTGGGCTTGAAAGAGGTGTCTTTACTTATCAAGGTGATATACACGGAAAAGATTTTGGAAAATTTATGTTCCAAAGAGAAAGTAAGAATGCTTTCAGAGCACTCCACAGTATATTGTATGTCACTCCCATTAAATTATATTACTTCATTCACTAAGCGAGCAATTAGAACAAATAATTGTATTTGTTTTGCTGAATTCTTATCAAATTTATAATTCACCTATGTTAGATAAAATTTGACGTTATGTATCTATTTCAACTTTTTGATGCAGCTATTTCATTTTTGATACCACTGCAACCTAACTGAAGATTGCTTATATAAAATCTCTCAGTATAAATATTTATGAGCCATAGATAATGTATGATGATGATTTTATCCTAGTGCTTCAGCAATGCAATCCTATGCATGTTTATTGAAAAGTAAGCCCCAATTATGTTCACTGGGACTTACTCACATTGATTGCAGCCTAAAATACTTTTACAAATCATTAAAGTTTCCTTTGATGATTGAGAGCATTCTGTGCCATTTAAATCACTTAGGTTCTTTTGAATTTTGCATGTCTTTGAAATGAAAAGAAAATAAGTTTCAATTTCAAATCTACCAAGGATTTGGTATATCTCTTACATTTCTAATAGACCATACCAGATTGTCTTACTCTTTGATCCTAGGATAATGAAAATAGAATTCTTGGAAGACAGAATTCAAAGGATGTCCCCCTCTTGCATGATACCTGGGCAAAGAAACTCTTTGGTCTCAGATTTCCCTCTATCAATTTTATACACACACGCACACACTTTCCTGAAAATACATTTCCTGAAAATACAAAATACATTGTTGACATGATCCTTTATTTAACTTTCAGGTCCTTTAAATGTGGATGCCGATCACTCCAATCACAGCTATGGTACAAATAGCAGTTCTGTGGCAGCTGCCATCCTAGTACCCTTCTTTGCTCTAATATTATCAGGGTTTGCATTTTACCTCTACAAACACAGGTATAGTAAACATCTTATGATCCCTTTAATGTTAAATGTGAAACTCGTTAACTAGTATGGTTCTTTCAACATGGCTTATTTATTTATTTAGCGTATGGCATACACTGTCAGGGAAATCTACATGCTAGACACAACAATGCGGTCCTGACAGCCTAAATAGCTAGTTCATTTTGTTCGGCACTTGCCTGCTATCCGCTGTGCACAGCAGGGGGTGAACAAGCTTACAACAGCTGACTAGCAGTGATTGGGTTTGCTGGCTCTTCCGAGCTCCTCTGCCAGTCTCACCTTGCCTTATGTTGCATTGCCTCTCATCCAGCCAGGTCAAATGCCGACTTCTGCTCTTTTCACTCAGACAAATGCTGCTTGATTTTTCCCACCGAAGTGTATCTACTCACAATATTGCATGCTTTCCAACTGCTGGATGGGCAGGAGCAAGGGATCAAGCTATGGAAGTGTACTCTATCTCACGGAGCTGGACTCGAATCTCCGGAGTGCAGACCATTTCTGGCCAGCAGCTCCAGCATCATTAAGCCAGTGTGCCACCGCGTCCTCTTTCAACATGGGTGACATGACCTCTTAGTACCAAGGATTAGTTAGCAGATTGTTTAAACCAATTCAGGTTTTCAGATATTCTTGTAGAATAATCCAAAGGTGGAAAATAATATTTCAGAAATAACTAAGATTGTATAGATCTGTGAAAACTCATCCTTACCACTTCAGAGATAGGGTCAAGGAATATTTCCACTTTAGAGAATGGGTCTTTCACAGACAATGTTGCTCCATTTTAAAAAGGCTTAACTGTAATTGTACAGGCCAATTTTCTACTAATCAACCGTATGCTCCTGGGTCTGGTTTTAATTGCAGGTTGTTCATCTTTGTTATCAAACTTGGGTGTTGGCCAGGACAAACAATTGCTTCATTATAGCTGTTAGCAAAGGAAATTAATTGATCAGGGTGTTATCTGCATACTGGTGGAAATTCACTCCAATATTCTGAATTCTTTCTTATAAGATTAATGCTATGAATGGATTACTGAACAAAATGGAGCTTGAAGTCTCTGAGAATCCCATTTTGGATACACTGGGAAATACAGTACAATTCATTGTAAAATGGTGCCAAGTATTTATCTCAATAAGGGAGATTTCTGCCATTCAATTCCTTGAAGATGTCATCCACCAAAGATCAGAGCAATCTGAGTGCCATATCCTGTCTGACGCTCTGCTGAGTTGGTCCAATCAATGTGTATCTCTGGAGTGTTGAGAAATTAATGAATGGTCACTCACTTTCCCCAACAGTTTTTAATCAAGAGAAAGATTCTTTAATAATGTTTTTATCATTGTCTTCATTAGGCAAGGAAAGACACACCCTTCTTGCAAAGTAGCTCAAATTATTTCTCTGAAATTGCTGGGTAGTTGTCACTCAAATAGTTGAATTGATCAATTAGTGGAATGGCTTTACCTTCAGAAGCTGTGGATACTCCATCACTGGAGTTTTTTAAGAAAAGACTGGGCAGCCACTTATCTGAAATGCTGTAGGACACGGGTGTCAAACTCGCCGTGTCATGTGACATGTCATGACATATTGTGACTTGTTTTGCATTGCCGGAGCTGGGGTGGGCATGGCCTCCGTATGATGCAACCGGCCCACCGGCTGGCAGTTTGACACCCCTGCTATAGTGTTTCCTGCTTGAGTAGGGGATTGGACTAGAAGACCTTCCTGCTCTATTCTGATTGATTGAAATTGTACTGCCTGCAACTGAGTGCTCTGTTTATAAGTATTCACACATACACACACACACATAGAAGTAAATACACTAGGACAAAGGAGTGGTAATTCTATCAGAAGTTGAAGAGAGTGGTTCAGCCCATAGTGTATGATCCAAATTGTAAATATAAACTTCAAAAACGATGTGTAGCCTTGCTTGCCAATCATGTTGAACAATTCTTTTTTGCATTATTTAAAAGCACACCGCAACCAAATAAATTGTTGCTATATGTAACTTTTAATATGTGCCTCTGTACAACTCTATAGCTGTATAGATTTCTGCAAGAAGTCTTCGTATAGCTCCTTTCAAGTATTTCCCGGATGGTCTAGCATGGGTTGATAATACATTTGCTTTGCAGGGCAACAAAGCTTGTCTGCAGAAATGACCTGGAAAAACCTTTAAAGAAGCTGGGTGCTCACCATTATGAAGGCTGCAGTTGCTTCTAGTCTTGGAGTAGAGGCATTTGGTTCATGTCAGTATACTTACAGAAGTGCTCCTTCAAATGATTTGCACTGCTGTAATATTTGTGCAGCTTTTCCAAATATATGCTTATGTATACATTATTCCTCCGAATATATGCCTTTTTATATGCAGTGCTCAAGCCAAGACAAATGCTAATTTACATGTACTGCATTATCATTGGTGGCCAGCTACTGACTGAAGCCTATTTGCCCAAATCTGTTGCTAGCACTACAAGTGAAAAACTATTACAAGTGGCAAACTATTATGTACATTACTAGCATTAGCTAATGAAAAGAAGTACTGTAAATCCCCCTGATATTTTTTTTTAAATTTACCTGCTGAAATCTGTTTTCACAATTACAAAAATGGGGAATAGCCTTGAAGATATTTCTTGTGATTTAGTAGGCTTTTAGACTTAAGGACTGGAATGAAAACATTTAAAACCTACCGGAAAGCAATTCCCATCTGTTAAACTCTATTTTAGGCAGCATCTATGAGTACATCTCTGAAATTAGTCTAAATAATTAATATAGTAGAGAAATGACAATATTTTCATCCTACAATTTAGTATGCAAAATAGCTAGCTGTATTAAGATGAAGGGTTTTTATCCTTAACATAGTAATTGAGAATGTTATGAATGGCAATTATATTGTGTTTTCTTTAGCAGTCTATGTGGCTCTTCTTTTCTTTTCTATCTGGAAGAAACATGTTTCCAAATTTGTCATGTTGTTCACTATATTTTCAAGATATATGCCCTAGTTTAAGTCTTTTTCACATGGGAAATGCTGAAGAATTTGACATTTATTCCTGTGATTATTTAGCACTCTCATCAACCCATATCAGGTGTAGGGAAATCCATTCAGTTTAGTGATGTTAAAGCAAACAAAAAATTCCTTAGAATGTTTTTTTATGCTATCCTCCAGAAACTGAAACTAGAATAGAATGAAAAAAGAGAAACAAAAGCACCCAACATATTCTTTTACTTCTTAGAAAAGATGTTACTAGTCAGATGAAAAAATTGGATTAATTTCTTGAATCCCACAATAATGTGGAAAGCCATGTTAGTATTTGTTTTGATATATCAGAAATGCTGGGTTAGGGTTTATTTTATCGTTCTGCTCCATACTTACTAAGCCAATTCCAGTTCAACTCTCTCTATATATCATGCCTTGAAATAGCAAAGAGTAATAGGAAGGTACAAATTATCTTATTTCTGTCACATTTCCAGCAGTTGAATCTCAGATTTTTCTTCTTCTTCTTCTTCTTCTTTTTTACACTTGCAGAACAAGACCAAAAGTACAGTACAATGGTTATGCTGGACACGAAAACAGCAATGGACAGGCGTCATTTGAAAATCCTATGTATGATACAAACTTAAAGCCCACAGAGGCAAAAGCTGTGAGGTTTGACACAACTCTGAACACAGTTTGTACAGTGGTATAGCCTTCAGTGCCCAATTTGACTGATTCATAGCCATACCTCTGATGGACAAGCAGTAATTCCTTTGGTGCCATATACCAGTTTCCCTTCTCCACTTGACTTCACTGCTGTAATCTTTAACATCTCCTGGCATAGATGCAGCAAGGCTTTTTTGCTGGAACCTCGGTCTTTTGGGGAATCAAGACTAAGATGATGTCTTTGTCTCAAAGGTAGATTTGAAATATCTGGCTATATTTGCTCCAAATTAAGGCACACTTTCAAGGAAGACTGCCAAGTCATATCCATCTGTCATATTTAAATGCCTCAGACCTTCACATTTGTATGTGGCTGGATGCCTTTCAATGCAATCTTCTGGGCACTCGGATCACTCCCTTGGGACCTATAACAAACAATAGCACCATAAATTATCCCCAGGAATAAGAACACTCTGAAGGAGATTTAAACAAAACCAATCAAAGGAGATGACAAACTTCCTCGGGGCCTGCACACATCTACGAAATGCTTTACCATTGAAACCTTGTTCACAATACAGCCGTACAGTATATCTCAGATGTTCATGTAGAAGGCAATCTACAAACTTCCCAGTCAGCTGTTGTATTGCAAAATGTTAATGCACAATTTTTTGCACTAGTGTGGTATGAATGAATAAGATACTGGTTAAAAAAAAAACAAAATATACAGGGTTTATACACACATTGTATATAAGCATTTGGCCTTTTTTTAATCCAGTAAATCATTCCATGACACTTTTTTTTCCCTAATACAGTATGTATGTTGCACAACAATCCATTTATTTAATCCTGCTAGGATAATTCATAAACAGAAGGAGACTATATTCTGATTGGGTTTTTTTTTCTATAAACACCAGAGCTAGGAATAAGAATAATTAAATGGATTATGAAGAGAGGGGTCCCATATCTACTAAACATTAATCCCAGTATTGTTTCTTCTCTGATGTGATTCATTACTGTCAGTGTCATACTGTTTAACAGCAGGGGGGTCAGGCAGCGTCTGCTGCTTGCCATGTACAAAATGTGAATAGTAATTTATTTTAAATAGTTCATAAAGCCTGTGAGCCTTGTGCTCATAAAACAGTCTTCCTTTTTGCATTCTTTTCCATCTTTTCTTCTTCCTCTCCACTGACATGAATTTCTGCTGTACCATTATGCTTTCAGAGGCATAGAACTCGGAGCTCAGTTTTATAGTCAACACAGTAACTTCCCACAGCAATCATGACTCTTTTCCATGGGTTGTATGGGTGTGTGCGCACATGTCTCTGTGTGTGTATCTCTGTGTGTGATTGTTTTGTTTGCTACATTTTTAACCAATACTGCTTAATGCTTTTGTAATCATACAGCTTGACAGAGCAAGTTTGAGATTTAGAGGTATTCCTCAGTATAATAAAATGAGCATAGCCTTCCCCTCCCCCCAAAATGGGGATAGGCTACAACAAAAATAATTGACAGATTCTTTAATCATGAAATTATTTGACAAATATCATTGATTCAATGTGGCACACCTATAGCATGGATCCACAAATGGCATTGGCATAAGGAATCTATAGCACTGTTGACAGGATTAAGGATACCTATACAAATAGGTACGATGGAATCAGACTTTGCTACTCTCTATTTCTTTGCTTAGTAGACTAGTGTGAGAACAAGGCATAAGAGTCTCTTTGTATTGTACTGGGCAATAGAGTGTCACCATCATATAACTGAAAGTCCAGTTCATTCAGCTTGCACAAAATGTTGACTGCAACTCTTATCAGTTAAGTCAACCTTATTGGTTACATCCAATTTTAGCTTGGATGCAATTATCTGGACAGTTATGCAATGATGTGCAAATACCTAATTCATCCTGATGGACTTAAGGACACGTGCTTATGCACTGTTATTTATATCATTACAGGATAAGTCATTGCTATTATTTCTCCTAGCTTCAGTGGGATAATAATGGGATATGTTACCACTGATTTAGAAAGAAAAGAAAAGAAAGAAAGAAAGAATTACTTTTAGGATTTTTCTTCCCCAAAGTTTCTTCAAATTAGTACACAAGACAAGTTCTAAACAGCTGCACAATTAACTCCTCACGTTCTCAGGAACACTGGGCTTATTTAAAATAACAGCCCTAAGCAACATTAAATTATTTTTGAAATGGAAAAATAGAACAGGATTTCAAACTAAATTAGTATATCACAAGGACCTCTTTTTGTGTTGTTAAGTGGAAGAAAACCCTTGGCAATCCAAATCTCTGGGTGCCTAAAGTAGCTGTTTGGATCTTGACCGTGATTTTGTCTACCCTCCCACTCAAAGTTTCTTTCTTTGCTTTTAATTCTTGTTGAACACTTTAATGACTAAATATGTTACCAAAAATTCAGTGTTAACAGGAAAGATGATAACTTTATGTTATATGGCAAGAAAAGTTTGCAAGGCAATCTGATCAAAATAGAAAACGTTATATAGTTTTGATGGAAGATACCAGCAATATCAATATATTTTGCTGTCTGATTTTTTTTTAAAGTTTATTCTTATAAACCTAGGAGATGTCTAGATGCCTTGCTTTGCTTCAGATGCTGATAATCTGTGAATATGCCATGTGCAGTTACAATTTTATATGATCTTCAACAAATGTTTGCATTCTCTGGAAGGACAGCAGTGTCAAGTTACATTTCTTGAAGTGTAGCTTCCTTGCTGTCTTATATTGTTGTCACTGGAGAAAGTCAAACCATCACTGCTGCCTTTGTAGTCACTTTATCTAAAATTATACTGATGGCAAAAGTAACCAAAGTTATTTAAAAAAAATACAGCATTGAGAGAAATAACTGATTTTTTTCTAACTATTACCAAGTCTGGATAAAATGTAAGAAGAGAGAAAATTTTATAATAGTGTTATCAGCATGTGTCCTGATTCAGAAATCTACCTGTGCTGATAAATGCAAAATATCTCTTCTCTTCTTAATTTCATTGCTTTGAAGTCAGGTGCACAGTAGAAGGCCTACTGGATGAGCTTCATCTATTGAAATGAATTGGGAGAACATTCCAGTTAATGGACTAGCATTCATTGATCACAATGAATCATGAAATTAGAATGATAGTTTTGCTTTTTTGTTCTCTTTTATAGTGTCTTTGTTTAAGATCTTGACTATGCTTCACATGTAACAGTGAAGTATAATTATATCACAAAGAGTAAAGTTGTTTATGCTACAATTAGAAGTCATCAACACTTTACCTAATGCAGGCAAAACCATTTCAGTTGGAAATATTTCATTTGAGTTGGTACTAAACTTTCTGCAGGCCCACTGATACTGGTGAAACTGCAGGAAAACAGCTTGTTTTGCACGTATAGTGTATCTATCCAATAAAAAAAATAGGTTTGTAGAAAGGCTTTTTTTTTGTTTTGTTTTTTTGGGTCACCTCTGTGCCTATTTTGTGTTCCATCTGTTTTCGTTACAGTCACATTGTATGCACTGACCAAGTTTGATCTTCCATTTCTTCCATTATTTTCAGAGCCCAGATCCTCAAGTGCCACCTAAAGTCTATTCACTTGAGTAGGGCTTGAGCTGCAGAGCAACTTGAAAACAAGCCAAGTTCCCTCAGTCGCTCTGGTATTCTCATGCCAAAGCAAGTAATGCATTTTTTTTTTCTATGAGGCATTTATAGTTGACTCTTCCCCAAGAAGTCTCAGATTGATTATGATAAAGCAAAGATGAACATGCTAAAAGAAAGAATTTTTAAAAAAGAAAAAAGAAAAAAAAAGGTAATGTGCTTCAAAGCTGTTTAAATCTGCTTGTATTACCCATCTTGCCTTTCTCCAGGCTAGCTGCAATAATTTTTTTTCTTCTGTAATATATTTTGTAAACTAAACAAGCTGTCATTCAAGAAGAGGGAGGGGGAAGCTGGCATTATGACCATCAACCTAATTTTCATTCTCAGTACTCCATTTTGCCATTTCACCTCATGCTGCTGTGACATGAAGTAGGTGCAAAAGAACTTTTTTGTACAGAGATATATTTTTTATGAAACATTTGTAAAATTATTAAATATGCTGTACTTTTTGATTAATGTAGGTAAATTGTTAAAAAAATGTTTTTACAATACAAAGAAAGAAAATCCTGTAATTTTCCCAATACTGTAAAATGCACCATCTTTAGCTGATTTTTTTCAGTTCTGAATCTATTCCACATGTATTAATATTAAAGTGGCCTGTTTAAAATATACAGTAATTTTTTGGGGCAAAACAAAAAAAAGTATAAAAGATTGTAATATAGCCTGTGCAATGCCACCTATCTTGAAAGCAAATCAAAATTCTAATTAAATATTTAATTTTAGATTTCCAGATTATTGTATGGCAGTGTATTGTTGTTAAAAAAAAATCTTCGACTTTTCTTTCAGTTGTCAGAATTTCTGCCAACCAACTTAAAATATACGGCACATATAACCAAACTTAACTTGATGAAAGGATATATTACTGCTCTAGGAAAAATATATATCTTCATTTCTCTGCGCAGTTTGAACTGCAAGCTGTGTAAAAGAATACACATGAGAATTAGGGCCTGGCAGCTATCTTAATATGAAACCAGGAGACTAGAGAGTATGTGTGGAGGGATCGGATGATTACTCTGATATAAGACAATATTTATCTTCGTTCCTTCCTTCCTTCCTTCCTTCCTTCCTTCCTTCCTTCCTTCCTTCCTTCCTTCCTTCCTTCCTTCCTTCCTGGTGGGAATAGCCAATTCAGGTATAAGAGCTTAACCCAGTCCTGAGCTGAAGTTTATCAATCTTATTCCTCACTTCGTCGCTTAGGGAACAATCCTATGGAAGCCTAAAAAATGTTAGATAATTGAACTTTTGCCTTTCTGAGGCCAGATATTTAAGTCTTTATTCTTGGGAAATGGAGAGATTATCCTCCTGAATCAGTGGTGGGATTCAAATATGTGAACAACTGGTTCTCTGTGTGGATGCCACTTCTGGAAGTCCATTCTGGGCCTGGGCAACAAAAAAAATAGCTACTGGTTCTGCTGAAGTGGTGCGAACTGGCTGAATCCCACTACTGTCCTGAATACTATCCAGTATGGGTGATCCTAATTTTTAAAAGTCTTAAAATACGTCATATTTTGCCTGGAATTTGGTAGAATATCTGATGGATGCTTAGCCCTTCTTCTCTGCCTTGCATTATGTCCCCAGTTCCGTGGAAAATGTAAATCATCCATCTGTCTGTCTTAAATATTTTCCCTTCCCAAATGAGAAGAAAACCCTATAAGTGGATATAAAAATTTTAACATTCTCCTATTTCTATCTTATTAAAGTCTAAGTGGGCTTTGCATATTACAGAGCACTCCAAGTTTGAAGATCTCTGAAGAGATCTACGGTTTGCTTCACTAACCCACCGGTAATCTCACAGAAATCAGAATAATAATTTCACAGACAAGGATTCACATCATGTTATATCTGTGCTGTGTAAATTTAACAAATTTATCTTTCAGATTCTGTGGAACCAAGTCAAAAGATCTGTAGGCAGAGAATATGAAGTTGATGACTGAACAGTTAAAGAATGTATGATAATTCTGAAAAAGTTGCCACAGACCTTTAAACTTACAATGTAACTTTTTGCAGCCATGCTAGGAGAGATATTCACCTTTTTTGGTGGGATGCTGGAAAATAACTAAGGTTCTGAAATATTGTTAGAAAACCTATAATTATTTATTCCTAGCAATGGTTATCTTGCAGATGATATAATGCAGATTTTTAGTGAGTTACACATGGCTGACTCCCATTGAATTGACTAAAAATATTTTCAAATAATTGATATCTTTGTGTCCAGTGAACAATAACTAAAAACTACATGTTCACAACCTCTCTGCTCTGTCACTGCCACCATCCATTATCAACCAAATAACAAAACAAAAGCCTGCAAACTTTTTGGGGAAAAAGTTAGCAAAGTATTTTCCTTTCCTGGCTGCACCTGCTAATTCCATAACAAAACATAGCTCACAAATTTATCCCTCAAGAGATGTTACACAACTGGTGATGCTCACAACAGAAGAATTATGATTAAAGCTGCACAAATTAGAAAATAAATGAATCAAGAGGGAGGCATATATTTCAACTATTGCAAATAAAAGAAAATGGAATGAGAGGGAAAGCAATACAAAGATTGCCAGAACTCTAATTTCAAAGACATGCTCATTAGCCTGCTGCTCATTATGTGACTTGTTTAGTGTTTTTGAAACTTAAAACTCTCATATTGACATGATATGGGCATGTTTTAAGAGATGTTTTATTTTATAAGGCACTCTATATTATTTTCAGTTCTAGAATATCCTGTTGCTATATGGTAGCAATGGATTTAATAAAACAAATCCAGACCTTTATGAATGGTGTTCCAAGATTATGACTGGATCGATAATTAGCTAGGAAGCACCTATAGTGGATATATAAAGTCTGCACACCCTTGTTAAAATGCCAGGTTTTGGAGATGCAAAAAAATCAGACCAAGATAAATCACTTCAAAATGTTTACACCTGTAATATAACATAGAGGTTGTATGATTAAACTGAAAAACAAACTGAAATCTTTTAGAGGGAAAAAAATAACAATAAAATTGTACAATAATATGGTTGCATAAGCATGCAAATCCTCTTATAAGTGAGGATTGTCTGTATTTAGAATTAACCAATCACATTCAGACTGATAGTAAATAGTCATCAGTACACACCTGCCATCAGTTAAAGTCACACTGATCAAGCCCATATAAAGTTCAGCTGTTCTAGTAGGATTTTTCTGAAATTTCCTCAGTTGTCTCTTACAGCAAAAGCCATGGTCTGCAAAGAGCTTACAAAGCATCGAAGGGATCTCATTATTGGAAGGTGTTGGATATACCATGGCACACAGTGAAGACAGTCATCAACAAGTGAAGAAAATTTGGCACAACAATGATATTACCAAGAACTGGATGTCCCTCCAAAATTGATGAAGAAGAAAAGCATCCAAGTCTGGCTATATTTTGCAAAAACCTGCATCAAGTCTGACAAAAGCATGTGAGGAAATGTGTTAAGGTCTGTTGAGACCAAAGTTGAATTTTTTGGCTATAATTCCAAAATATACATATTTGGGCAAGAACAACACTGCATCACCAAAAGTACACCATACCTACAGTGAAACATGATAGTGATGGCGTTATGCTTTGAGGTTGCTTTTCCTCAGCTGGAAATGGGGCTTTAGTCAAAGTAGAGAGAATAATAAATAGTTCTAAATATAAGTCAATGCTGGCACAAAACCTTCAGGTCTTTGCTAAAAGGCTGAAGGTGAAGAGGAATTTGACATGACATCGACCCAAAGCATACTTCCAAATCAACAAAAGAATGGCTTCACCCAAAGAAGATCGAAGTTTTGCAATGGCCCAGGAAGAGCCTGAACCTGAATCCAATTGGAAATCTGAAGATGGCCTCATAATGTGACAGATCTGGAGCACTTGTGCAAGAAAGAATGGGTAAACATTCCTAAGACAAGATGTGCCCCATGGATAGACTCTTACCCCAAAAGACTGAATGCAGTCATAAAATCAAAAGATGCTTCAGCCAAGTACTAATTTAAGGCTATGCACACTTATGCAGCTATATTATTCTAGTTATTTATTATTTTTCCCCATAAAATATTTCAGGTGGCATTTCAGGTGGAAAGAATTCTGAAGTGATTTATCTTGATCTGATTTTTTTTTTAACATCTCAAAAACCTGGCAGGTGTAGACTTTCCATATCCGCTGTAGCTAGGTCTTCCCCAGAGTGGCTAGGTAATCCGGGCTGTTCATTTGTGTCACAGAAAGGAGATGGGGGAAAACATTGCTATCTCAGACCAGAAATTCAGCATTCCATCATGCACAGCCAGGGATATCCTGAAAGTATATGATAGAAAGGAAAGGCACTCAGTATCATTTTGCCCAACATGGAAAAATATAGGATCTGACTTCATGTTTTCTCACACAAACGTATTGATGCCAGCCCACTATTAGCATGCTTACTCAACTGTGAAAAATTAGACACACAAATCTCTCTGACATGGGGAAATAACTCCAAAGGCTTCACCCTGTTGATTATGGTGATTCTTTTTATCGGATGTGAGAAACAGAACATAGCTACAAGCTTGTAGTTTTACAAACATAAAAGGTCCATTTCTATTTCTGTACACAACATAATGCCTGTTTAACTCTCTGATCTCTCATTTAATGAAATGTTTTCTCCCATTTTTACAATGACAGCTATTCCCATGCAGCCCATTAAGCCAGCAAGAGCAGAGCACAATCCTTGGGCCAGATGCTGTCCCTGGATCCCAATCTGAGGCCTCCAAGTGCATTCTGCCTAACTTGGAAAAGAAGAGCTGATTCTCAATTGTGTTGAATTAAAAAAAAAAAAAACAGCAGCCAACAATAACTAAACCAAGATTCAATCATTTTTAGTTTATGGAATTAGCCACAACTGGCTAAATTGGCACACTGACTTACAAGCAAAGAGACTGTATTTAGGATTGCAGTATCCTATGAACCAAGCTAAAATCTGCATTCTGCACTGGTCCAATATCAATGAGAAGAAAAATGCTATATTACATTCTAGGTCTACCTGTTCTAGGATTCAGAATATGTCATGCTACTCTATCAACTCCCTGGAGCCATTTATGCTAAGCTTCCCACATTTGCTTGTCAGGTGTATGAACCGCTAGAGAGTGAAGAGCCAGGTACTTGTTTCTATCAAATTGGAAATAGGCATATAAAAATAGAACAAAAGTGAGAGGTATTTTATTTTTTGTATTCTTGTAATTGTTTTCCTTTTACATTTAATTTTGTTTGCCAGCCAGAGTCAACTGATGGGCAGCCATTATAAATTGACTCAGTCCATCAATAAATGGTAAAAGAAAGTATTAGGAATAAGATAGAGACACATTAGTGCCCGGGTGAAAAAGAAAAGGAGAACTCAGACTAAGTTTGTAATGCAGAATTAGAGAATGAAGGGGGGAAAAGCTGCCTTAATTTAGTCCAATATAATCTTAGAAACTCATGGGAAATGTCACAGACAGGTAAAATAAAGGAGTTCTGTGGGGAATCACTCTACCATAGATGACTGATTAATAAAATATGAAACAACAATGACAGCAACAACAAAATGACTTATAACCAATTGTGCCTCTCCACAAAGATCAAAGCTCTGTTGGGTGAGAATACAATGAAATGGACATTCTGGTGAAGCCCTGGCTGCCCCTGCAGACTTCCTTCAAATGACATGGCCTCCTGCAGGTATCTGCA